TGTAGCACTTATGGGATGTAGCAATTGTGGGGTGTTGTATCTGAACAATTCAGGCCTCAGTGTGCACCAGCCATACGGCTTGCAACTGCTTTTCTCAGAATTTTCTCAGAATTTTCTCAGAATTTCTCAGAATTTTCTCAGAATTTTCTCAGAATTTCTCAGAATTGTCTCTCTGTAAAATTCATCAAAGTCACTAAGACATCAGCTGAGCTAAAATAAGAATGAAGAAGCTGAGAAACCAAACACCAGGACCACAAAAACTCGATAGCAGAAGACTGCAAAACACCTAGACTGCAACCAGCCACAGATACTGAGAGACAGAGGCAGAAAAGCAGGGAACAAGACAAAAACACCAGTCCAGAAACCTGCACTTGGTAATTTGGATCCATAAAAGTGTGGGTCATGTAAACAATTAACAGCTACTTAACCATATTAGTCAATCCTACAAGAGTTCCAGGGCTCTGGAACTCTTGGATGGTTTGGGTGGGATGATTTCAGTGGGATGATTTAGATGAGATGATTGGGGTGGGATGATTTGGGTGGGAAAATTTGGGTGGGATGATTGATTTGGGTGGGATGATTTCAGTGGGATGATTTAGATGAGATGATTTGGGTGGGATGATTTGGGTGGGATGATTTGGGTGGGATGATCTGGGTGAGATGATTTGGGTGCGATGATTGATTTGGGTGGGATGATTTGGGTGGGATGATTTCAGTGGGATGATTTAGATGAGATGATTTGGGTGGGATGATTTGGGTGGGATGATCTGGGTGAGATGATTTGGGTGAGATGATTGATTTGGGTGGGATGATTTGGGTGGGATGATTTCAGTGGGATGATCTGGGTACGATGATTTGGGTGGGATGATTGGGGTGGAATGATTCAGGTGGGATGATTTAGGTGGGATGACTGATTTGGGTGAGATGATTTGGATGGGATGATTGATTTGGGTGGGACAATTTAGGTGGGACAATTTAGGTGGGATAATTTGGGTGGGATGATTTGGGTGAGATGATTGATTTGGGTGGGACGATTTGGGTGGGATGATCTGGGTGGGATAATTGATTTAGGTGGGATGACTGATTTGGGTGGGATGATTTGGGTGAGATGATTGATTTCGGTGGGATGATCTGAGTGGGATGATTTAGGTGAGATGATTGGGGTGGCATGATTTGGGTGGGAAGATTTGGGTGGGATGATTGGGGTGGGATGATTGGGGTGGGATGATTGGGGTGGGATGATTGGGGTGGGATGATTGGGGTGTCCTCCCATCCCTGGTGTGTTTTTGGGAGGCTCAGACGGGGTGTCCCACCCCAGCTGCCCTCCCTGGCACGCTTTGCCCGGGCAGGAGGAAGCAGCGGGGCAGTGGGTGTGGGGTAATTCCAGCTGGGCGGGACGGATCTGGAGGAGGGCAGCACTTCCTCCTTCCAGACGAGAGTGACGAGCTCTGCCACAACCAGGCCGAGATTTGGGGCTCGTGCTTGACCTAGAACTGGAGCCAAGCTCCCAAACCAGCTCGTTCAGGAGCTCCTGACCCCAAAACACACGAGGTGAACACTCCCTCTCTCTGTCTCTCTGCTCTGCTGGGCATCTTTCCTGCTGCCAGCCCCTCCAACCTGGAGTTTGCTGAGTTCTCAGGAATTTCTCACCAGCTTCAGTGGTTCAGAGTTATTTTCTTATCAGCTCAAGCTCTGGGTGGTGCTGGGATTTTTGTTTGATTCCATCTCCAAATGCGCATGGAGATCTTGAACCCATCACATGTGGCTGCTGGGGTAACCCTTGGGGTTTTAGGGGTCTCTCAGCCCTAATTTGCCCTAAAGAGGGACAGGGAAAACTTCCCCAGCATCTGAGCTCCAAGTCCTTGGCCAAGCTGCCAACCCAAACACTGGGGAAGGCCTTGGAGGAGCTCCAGGAATCTGCTGTCCTGTGGGGCCTCAGGTGGTTCCACCCCAAGGAAACCCTTTGGAAATTTATTTCTGGAGCTGGATTTCCCCACTGTGCTGAGCCTGGTGATTCCAACAGCACAACAAATCCGGGCTGGAGCTCTGCAGTCACTGCAGCAGGACCCAGCACAACAAAAAACTGCTCCTTTGCTTGGAAAGAACGATTTATATACCAAAAAAAAAAAATCCTTTCTGCCCCGGGAATGTGCAAAGGCATGGAAAAACGAAAGGAAGGTGTTTCCCAAAGTCCACTTGGGCCCTCTGGAGCATCCCTGGTGCTCTCCAGGGACGCCGTGGCTGCAGCTCTGCCCTCCCTCCATTCATGGTTTCACTCTGCAGCAAGTGCAGAACTGGGGCTGTTCTAATTCAGTGCAAGCACAACACTGATTCCAGTTTGGAAAACAGCCTGCAAGTGCCTCCTCGTGGAGCTAATTCGGGGCTTGCATCTCCTCCGGAGCCCTGTGGCTCGCATTTTGATGAGCTCTCCAGGGAGAGGAGCTGCATTTCTGTGGAAGCGGGAGGGATCTGTGCGTTCTTGTGCTGACTAAACCCACCCACGCCTCGGGGCTTATTTGCAAGCAGATCCTGCATGGTTTGTGCCAGCCCTGATGGAAGGGCCTGATATTCCCGGGAGCTGGCACATTGATATTCCCAGGATCTGTCACACTGATATTCCCGGGAGCTGGCACGCTGATATTCCCGGGAGAAGGCACATTGAAATTCCCGGGAGAAGGCACATTGAAATTCCCGGGAGCTGGCACACTGATATTCCCAGGAGCTGGCACGCTGGTATTCCCGGGAGCTGGCACGCTGGTATTCCCGGGAGATGGCACACTGATATTCCCAGGAG